CTGGGCTGTACCGGGGTGAAGCCAGGGTGACCCGGGATGTACCGGGATGTACCGGGATGTGCCGGGTTGTAGCGGCATCTCCTGAGCTCTGCTGGGGTGAACCGGGATGTACCGAGGTGCTCGGCATGTCCTGAGGTGTCCCGGGGGATGCTCGGGCGGGCTCTGGGGCAGGACCCAGCAGGAGCCTGAGGGGCTCGGCCCGGCCCGGCGCTCGGAGCCTCCCAGCTCTGGTCTCCCCAGGAATCCAAGAAGCACCTGGCCGGGCTGGGCGTGCTGGGGCTGGGCAACCTCATCACCGAGATCACCGCCAGCGAGGAGGAGAGCGCCGAGAGCGAGGGAGCACACCTGGACGAGGAAGGTTTGGCATAGCTGGGATAGCGGTGCTTGGGCAGCAGAGGGGCTGCAGGGTCACAGCTCTAGCTGGAGAGAACAAAATGCACTCGGGTCTGCAGTGTATCGTGGTGTTCCCTGGTCAGAGGCCCCCTGTCAAAGGCCTTCCCTTCTCCACCTTGCCAAACAGAATCCCACAGTAGCTCCTGATCAGTTTTGCACTTGTTCCCTTTAATTCTTCATAAATATTTTTTCTTTTACTTGTTTCTCCACCTTCATAAATAAGTTTAGTCTGTGTTTGTATTAAAGAAGCCTACTTTGCACACAGTATAACATCTCTTTCTGAACTTGTTGAACAATTTCAGTGAATAAGTGATAGTTCCTTGTGCTAAAGTTGGTTGTTTACCAGTCTTTTAGAGGAAGTTCTGAGCTATGAGAGATTTTGATTAGAATGAGGGGAAAAGTACTCTGGTGGGTGATGTTAATTAGATAGTTTTGTTCTTTGAAATAAAGGAAGCATAGCAAAGGATTTGTAAGTAGTTAGTGAAGTCTGATGTAACATAAATTAGGATTAAGTTTTGTTTTCTTCTTAGGCTGGGTTAAGAGCACAGAGGATGCTGTTGATTACTCAGATATCACTGAAGTGGCAGAAGATGAGAGCCGTCGGTACAAGCAGGCGATGGGCAGCCTGCAGCCAGCTCGAAGGCCAGGTAAAGGGGATCAGCACTGCAGCTCTGCCTGTAGGAGGTATTCTGGGACATTGTGCCTTTTCCCTCCTTGCTTCAAGAACCCAGTGTCAGCTTTTGTGAAACTGTCTTCACTGGATGAAACCACTGCTTGCTGTCTTCCTCTTTTAAAGAATCAGTTCCTCATTGGAATCACTTTAATCTTAGTATCTCTCTCCTGTTTTAATCGTGAATTTATTTTTTATTTTTATTTTAAGAGGACTTTCTGCAGAAGGTCCCTTGGTTCTTTTGTTGGTCCCAGGTATCTCTGTCTGGCCTAGAATACGCTTTCAAAAATAAGCAGCTTTTCCATCTCAGTAGCTGCTGGTGTAAATGCTATATCTTGGCATGTTCTTTAGAGGTGTCTTACACTTAACCTTCTGGTGACTTTCTGTGGTTAGTGAGATATAAAGGTGATTTGGACCTTTTAACCCACATTTTCTTTATTTGTTCTACAAAGTGTGCATGAAAGGACGTGATTGCAGAATACATAAACACATAGGCAAATTGTGAATAAAAGGAGGTACATACACACACATAGATTTTAAGTGCTTCAGTCATCTTTCTGTCAGTTTCTCTTTGTCCTTCCTTCCCTCTGTTTTTTAAATTTACATCTTGCAAATGACTTTGTGCAGGAAGCTGAACTGGTAAGAGTTTTCATCTAATTACAAGATGAGAATGGTGTCTATGCCATCAGGTTTGAGACAATAAATGGAAAGGGTGCCTGGTTTTGTTTTATTATCTGCTTAACACGTGGTCTTGTCTCCTGCCTGGTTAGATGAAGATGAGGATGATTACGATGCTGACTGTGAAGACATTGATTCCAAGCTGATGCCACCACCACCACCACCTCCAGTACCTGGAAAAAAAGAAGATGAAAAGGATGCAGCTGCCACTGGTGAGTGAGGACTTTCTTTTTCTCTCTGGCAATGTGAATGTCTGAAGGAAGCAAGCGCTGCTGTGTAGCAGTTCTGCGGCACCACGCGTCACCAAAACTCGGTCAGCAGGCGGCATCTGAAGGTGAGTATTTGTGATGTTGCAGAATTACCTGAAATCTAGGGTAAAGTATTGTATTTCCAGTGACTGTTGAAATACCTGTATTGACAATGAAACTGCTTTTTTTATCTCATCC